TTTTTGTAAAAAATATATATATATAGACACACACACACACACACAACCTTCCATTCCAACAATTGAAATATTTAGTTATTTCTATGTACAAAACATCTCAGACAAAAACATTTTTTACAAACATGACTTTAGTTAAGTGCACATAAAAGGTAGACATATGCACAATTTCTAAATATAGACAAAAAGACTACATCTTTCCAACCTGCAGTCTCCTTCATCTTCATAAGCACAAATGCACCAATCTGACTTGGAGAATATAGCTTCCCATGTGCTTCTACCCAGGCATCACCATTAGAAGCACGCACAATCTTAAAGGGGACATTTTTGCTAAAGAAAAGAAAAAAATAGGCAAGTCATTGAAAGCAATCCACTTTAGTCTACCCTCTGCTCTAAATTGTCTAATTTATTTTATATAGAAAAAAACACAACTTTTCATGCACAGGGAATAAAAGAATAGTTTTATTTTAAACCAAATATCTACAGGAAATGGTAATTAACCCTTTGCTTTGAAAGCACCAATGATTTGCCCTAGAAATGTGCTTTCTGTACAGAAGGATTGCCAAAGTTTGGGTCAGGATCTGTGCAAGGTCGGTTGTACCTTTTAATTTACAGTGGTCAAGGGTAGAGTTCCAGACACAGACGATATGGGTAGGACTGCCTACCCATAGAACCTGGCTTAACCATTAGGATAATCTTCCAAGGACGAGAGAAGGGGTATAAAAAGGAGGGAAGGAAGGATCATTGCCAAATTGTAATCATGGTGGCAAACAGTTGAAAAAGTAAGAAAAAAGCATGAGCAGGCAACTAAGGAATGCAGTTCCCAAACAATCCCGCAATGTATAAAACAGATAAAATGGGAAAAGACCTGTTATAACCAAGGAGTGTAGATGATCGTTGGATTAACAGGAAATTATTATTATTATTATTATAAGAAGAGTAGGGGAGGAGTTAGATTTGTAGGTGACCCTAAAGGAGCGCTTGGACAGGTAAGAGAACCATGAGAGAGCAGAGTCTTGTAGGCCAAGTGAGTAGAGTTTTTTGAGGAGGAGCAGGTGTCAAAAGCAGCAGAAAGGTCTAATAGCAAGAGTAAGGAATAGTGGCCATTGTGTTTAGGAAATGTGTAAGTCTAGGATGTGAATTCTTTGTAAAGAAAAGGACTCCAGAGTGTTCCATGAAAAGAGTGCCAGAAAAACCACACAAAAAAAAGGGGACACTACAGTAGACATAGGAGTCAGTAGGGTAGGGTGCATTGTACACTTGCTCAGGCCCTCACAAGGCAAAGGAGTAGTAGGAACTATTCCCAGGTAATCATGCAAGTCACAAAAGAGGGATAGGACTTGGAGAGTCAAGCACCACAAGCAGAGCAAACAACCTCAATGGAAAGAACTCCACTGCAGGAGTGAGAAAATTATATACCAATTCGCAAGACATGATTTCTACCACATTAGAAATCAGATTCCAGGTACAGGGACCTAATGAATGGAGATCCTCCTCTCCATGCCAAGATCTCCTGCATTGTGTCAGGCGCACAACTCTAGTACCAGAAGCATCAGTAAGAACAGTGTCAAGGGTGAAAAATACACATACCCTTGAAGAGTAAATCAACTGTTCCTTAACCACTTCAAGACCAGGTGTTTAGACCCCCTTCCTGGCCAGGCCATTTTTCAGTGTTCAGCGCTGCGATACTTTGACTGACGTTTATTCCGTCACGCAACGCTGTACTGAAATGAATTTTATACCATTTTTTGGGGACAGATAGGGCTTTATTTTGGTGGTATTTAATCACCACTGGGGTTTTTATTTTTTATTATAATTAGGAAAAATGACAGAAAATTTTGAAAAAAAGAAGCATACATAGTATGCAGAGAACACAACTAAATCACAATAAGGTAAAAAGCACCTTAACTTTCTCAGGAGGAAACCATATTTCCACAGACTCCGTACTCACAGAGGAATGTTTTACATACAAAAAGGTTATATGAGAGGGTATTTACAGCTGTAATTGCTTTAACCACTTCCTGCCAGCATAAAAAAAACGGCCGTCCAGGAGCTCTAGATCTGAGCGGGCATCTTTAAACGTCCGCTCAGCCACGCCACCCTCGCGCGCCGCTGGGAAATGCCCGGTTTTTAAAAACAGGCAGCGATGCCTGTTAACATACAAGCGATCATCGCTTGTATGAGGTCCCAGTACGTGCGCCCCTCCCACGCTGGCCCCGGGCTCCGCTGTGCCCAGTGCGAGCCCGGGACCAGCATAGTGCCACTCTGACAGGGGTATCAGAGGTAGATCGGTACACGAACTCCCTCGGGCCCATCTCCGCTGTCAGAATGCGGAAGTGATGTATATTACATCACTTCCGCATTCTTGTGTCACTCTCCAGCTTCAGATGCTGGAGAGAAGCTGATGAAGCAGATCTCTGCTTCATCAGCTTCTTCAGGGGGGTCCTAGGTGACATTAGGGGTCTTGATGTCTCCATAAAGAGGACCCGTCACTTCTTTTGCCATCACATAAGGGGGTTTATTAGCCCCCTATGGGATAGCAATAAAGTTAAGTGAAAAAAAAAAAAAATATAGGAAAAAAAAATTAAAGTTTCCCCCCAAAAAATGTAAAGTTTCACATTAAAAAACCCCCCCCCCCCATACATACACGCATGCAAACAGGCGTTGGGTGCGCATACGTTCGAAAACGACGATTGCGCCCATTACACTGCACATGTTGCATATCATCGCGAACGTCGTAATGAGAGCAATAATTGTAGGGCCATCAATCACTGATAACACTAAACTGATGAGCGGTAAAAGCTTTTAAAGAGTCGCCTATGGTCAATTTTGGGTATTGTTTTTTTGCGATTTCGCTGGTGCGCACAATTTTAAAGCTTGACATGTTCGGTGTCCATTTACCCATCTTTTATATTTTACCAAAAATATAGGTAATAATCAGTGTTTCCTAATATAATGAAAAAATAACTTTCCAATAATTTTTCCTTAATATAGTAAAAAAATAAAAACCCCAGTGGTGATTAAATACCACCAAAAGGAAGCTCTACCTGTCCCCAAAAAAAGGGTATAAAATTTATTTCAGTACAGCGTTGCATGACGGAATAAATGTCAAAGTACCACAGCGCTGAATACTGAAAAATGGCCTGGCCAGGAAGGGGGTCTAAACACCTGGTCTTGAAGTGGTTAAAAGACCCTATGCCTGGAACAGCAGGATGAACCTCCAACTGCAGTGTAGAATGTATTGTATCAGATCATCAAGAATTCTTTGTAAATCTGATTCATATGTGACTTGGTGAAATACAAGCCCTTCAGGAGAAGTCGACAGCTCAATCTAATCTAAATCAGAAACCGATATAGAAGCCTCCAGCACACTTAGAGGTGGAGGTCCAGTAGGGTCAGAATTGGATTCGGTCATGGATGTCCCCAAAAAGCACTCCGAACATCTTAGCAGATTGCTGCAAACAGATCTAAAGATTCTCGATGGGGTTAAGGGTCTGGACTCCGATGGCCAATCCATGTGTGAAAATGTCTCTGAAGGTTCTCATTCATCCAGGTCTTGGTACATCTGTAAAAATTAGTCAAAGCGATTGGACTTGCTGTATTTTTATTGAAGATGTTTCACTGGACATCTGGCTTGCTTTCTCAATTCAGAAGGAATCTCTGGGAATAAATATGGTGAATTTCGCTCCAACCCACATAATCTGTTAGTCACAACCCCCTGTTGATCGCATTTGCATAATTGGAGTCTAGGAGATGTTATTAACCTGAGAGGTGTTAAAACAGCATTGTATGTGGCAGACAATAGGTCTCACCCCCCACCTCTATTCAAGCTTGGCTTCTCCATTTTTACATAAATGGCATCTTTCACACAAGTCCTCCTCCCAGTCTATGATGCGTACTTGACAGTCTTCAAAAGTAGTGACCTTTTTCATTTAGATGTAGGTATACTGCCGAATCCTGATCAGAGGGTTTTGCTGCTGTTTTGTTTCACCAACATACAATTCTGAGCACTCCTCACTGCACTGGACTGCATACACAATGTTGTTCATCTTGTGTTTTGGCGTTGGGTCATCTCATATGTAGCTGGGGTATCTGAGAAACTCAGAAGGGTTAAAAAAAAAGGGTTAAAAAAAAAAAAAAAAAACACATCCCTGCCTGCTCTTACCTTATGAGTTTATGTCAAATCTTCATAAGACATATGTATATAGTTTAATTTCTTGTTTTAAATATTTCACCCGAGGTGGGGGTAGCTGTAATGCTCTGGACTACAAATCCCAGAGACGTAAAGCTTATCTCAAGGATGAGCCGAGCTGTAAAGCTTGGCAAATCTTTAATTTCTATTTGTTGACTGTTCTTGCAGTAAAGTTCAAGGAAACTGACCCAGTAGCTTTTAAAAGTACTTTACTTGGCGAAAATGCTGCGTGTACAAACTTGGTTACAGGAAAAAACAAATACATAAACAAGACAGGCTGCTACAAACATTCACATTCACTACACTTTCTTCTAGTACATGTATGATTTCTAGGAGGGGGAAAACACTGACAATGTACTTAGCTCAGGCTGCAGGCTCCACAAATTCCGTGATGAACAGGACTTCATGGCCTACAAATGGCTTCTCGTTGCAGTCTCTGCTAAATCCTTTGTACAGTATGTCCTGATCTTGGAGCAAGCCCTCTCGTCTTGTCAAGCCCCCTCGTACTGTCCCCCTCCTGTGAAGCCCTCGTCTTGTGAAGTGCAGTGCTCCCTTTCAGCTACTGGCTTTTTATGGAGAGAAACTGGACTCACACTTTGGAAGCGCCGCCCCTTTCACCTTTAGGAAAATGCAATACAATGCATTTCACTTTGCCACCTCTAGGTGGCAGCGTTGTACCATAAATTGCCATCAGTAGTCCAGATTTGATTTGAGTCTTGGCCAGGCTAGGTGTGACTGTTTTCGTATCACAATGGGATGGTGATCGTATCAATACAGGACAAGCTACACCATTGTGAAAAACCAATTTGGTTTGTTTAGGTGGCACCTTCCATTGTATGAACCCAGCTTTCTATAAACAAAACCTCCGTCTCTATTGCAAATCTATGTGTGTCTGAAAAAGTCCACTAAGATATAAATCGCAACACAGTAGCTAGTAGGGAAATAAAGTCTTTGTTGTGCTCCTCACTGTGGAGGGGAGTTGCGGACCAATGAATTGTAAATAGGGTTATTGTTCGGCCCAGGCATGTCCGGATAATTGCATAGAGTATGGCTGGTCATCAGTCTTTTCAGAGCCGCGACACTTGGATTTAACAATAGGTAGACTGGCCAATCAGAGAAAGGGGTGGGGAGTTGTAAA